GCAATAAAAAGAGTGAACAGCTGAAAGACTACTTAATAGCACTGTATTTCCTAAGAGTGGCAAGGGCTGCCAAACACTCATCTATGTTCTAATCTTAGCCTTTAATGACTTTGGTATAGAAATTCTCTACTGTGTTTGCAGAAGTACAGTCATCCAAGATCAGTAACAGTTAAATGCAAACCTAAACATTATAATACTAATTGACAGAAGTACATAACCCAAATATAATCTCCAATAACTTAAATCCACTAAATATATAGGTCGGGAAAATGAATGGCTTGTTGTCAAGAAACAGAGCTAGGGTAGAATATATTAAGTAAAAGTACTAAAACAATGAAGTGCACAAATTTAGTATCCGATGTTTCTGTACCTCTTACACAGTATTAAATTCAGAACATTTTAAAATTACTTCAAATTATAGATTGGATGTCTCAAGACTCAAGAACATCTATATATGTTTCAAAATGTCTTCTACTGATGGCAACAAATTTAATCTGCATTTAGAATCAGATAAATAATTAAATAACATTAACATATTTCCCTAAAGAACATCAAGAATCAGAACCTATTTACTACCTCTTCAGAATAAATTTTAAGATTATTGAATAGCTTTTGTTTGATATCAATAAAACATGTAAATGCAAGGAAGAAAAAGAAAAAAAACTACTTACATATACTTCTCCAGGTAGAGGTTATTTTTTTTTAAATATATATAGTTATTTCCAATTTAACCTACCAGCCACACTCCTCGGAAGGAAGATGGGGCATCCTATTTCCGTAGTGATACTGCCTCGGAAACCCAAGGAGGGGTCGCTATGAGTCGGGGCCGACTCGACGGCACATAACAACAACAATAATGTTAGTCTGTCTTTGTTTGGAAGCTCTGCTAAAACCTGTCCGCCAGGTTTCTCAAATACCCTGGTATTTGAGATATAAGTGGAATAGCTTCCAGCATCATAGCAACATGAAAGTCATCATAGTAAGACAGATTTATAGACATACAAGCAAGTTTTGTGAAGATAATTTAAAAAATGACTTCAGCTGTACATTAACAGGGACCTGTCAGAAGTTCAAGCCAGATTTGGAAAAGGATGAGAAACAAGATACCATTTTTAATGTCAGATGGATCTTGGCTAAAAGCAGAGAATAACAGAAAAGTGTTTAATTGTGTTTTATTGACTACACCAAGGCATTTATCTGTGTGGATCATAACAAATAATGGATAATATTGGGAAGAATGGGAATTCCAGAACACTGGATTATACTCATGCAGAACCTAGACATGGATCAAGAAGCTGTCATTCAAACAGAACAAGAAGACACTGTGGTTCAAACTGGGAATGGTGTACAGCAGAGTTGTGTTCTGTCACCTTACTTACTCAATCTCTACGTTGAACAAATAGTCTGAGAAGCTGGGTTATGTGGGAAGAAGAAGAAGGCATCAAGATCAGAGAAGGACTCGTTAACAACTTGAGATATGCAGATGACACAACCCTTGCTTACAGGAAATAATGATGACTTGAAGCACTTACTGATGAAGCAAAACACCACAACTTTCTGTATGGAATTACAGTTGAATATTAAAAAAATAGAAAAATCCTTAGAACCAAACCAATAAACAACATCATGATAAATGTCAAAGAAATTGAAGTTGTCAAGAATTTCATTTTTCTGGATCAATAAATGCCCTTTAGCTACAGTCAAGATATCAGTCAACATCCTGCATTGGGCAGATCTGCTGCAAAAGGCCTCTTTAAAGTATTTAAAAAAAAAAAAAAAAAAAGGTGTCAACTTGAAAACTAAGGTGCATCTGACCCAAGTCATGGTATATGCAGTCATCTCATGTGCATATGAAAGCTGGACAATGAATAAAAGAAGGCCATAGAAAACTTGATACATTTGAATTGTGGTATTGATGAAGAATATTGAATATACTTCAGAAGTGTATTATATGCTGCCAGAAGAATGAAGAAATCGGTCTTGGAGGAAGAGTATAGCTAGAATACTCCTTAGAAGTGAGGATGGCAAGACTTCATCTCACTCACTTTGGACATGTCATCAGGAGAGACCACTCACTGTGGAAAGACATCATGCTTGGTAAAATAGAGGGTCAGCAAAAATGAGGGAAACCCTTAGCACATGGGTTGACACAGTGGCTGCAATAATGGCCTTAGACACAGAAACTATTGTGAGGATCATATAAGACTGGGCAACATTTTGTTCTGTTATACCTACGGTTGCTGTGGATTACATAATAATCTTACATAATAACACATTGTTAAATGATATACCTATAATGATTAGTAACAGCTATTCTTGATTTCTTTTGAGATGGTGAATGTGTTAGGAGCTGCTGACTAGTCTGAATAACAGGTAGTTTGCTGGTTCTAGATAGATAGGTGGGTAGGTTTGTAGGTAGTAGGTAGGTAGATAGGTAGTAGGTAGTAGGTGGCTAGATATAGATAAGCAGACAAAGTGGTTTTGTGACGTACCTGTGTGTCCATTGTTATGAATCATTTCTCTGGCATACATCGTTTTCTTTTTTATAGTGTTTGTATCCTCAGAGTGTGTTTGTATTTATTTCTCAATTATCTCTGTTTCTGAAACAATGGACCCATATCCAAATGCTCTTATTTGAGTATTCTATCTAGCAACAGTTTTGACAAGTTATATTTCTTGACTGAAACTCTGAACCAACTTTAAAATTTATTTGTTTGCCCATCTGGTTGTCAGGTAGATTGTAAGGTCCTTCATGGCATGACTTGTCATCTTTGTGTCTCTAGCAGCTAGCAAAGTATTAGATGTCAGCATACAGCATGTAGCAGAAAATCAGTAAATGTTTATTGAATACTTGAACTGAGAACTAATGGGAAAATAACTAAGCTGTTCTGAGAGTGAGATGTATTTCTAAGAATTAGAAAACTGAGCATACAAAAAAAAACCTTAAAAAAGGAAGCTACTTACCTAGGAAAATACAGCATTTAGGAAGAATGTGTAATGTCAAGTAGGTTATAATTCTGTCATTTATTTATTTCTGGTTGGGGTTTATAAAATATAAATGTTCCAACTATTTTGAAGTTTATTTTTTTAACTAAACTCAATACATTATATTTAAACAGAGGTGGGCTAGCAGAAAGACTAAAGGAACTGCAGAATCGAGAGAGATCCACCATTTCTTTTTGGAGACATCAATGTGGTTCTTACCAAAACATACTTAAAGGTAAGGCTTGCACAGGCTTAAGGCTGTGAGTAAACAATGTGTGCCATATAAAAGTATTTTTATATTAAAATAAAAAGTTGATCATTAATATGTGATTTTTTTTCTCTAGGTTCATGTTAAGTCTCAGAAATTATTTTAAGGATGCTTAAATTCTCACAAGATCTAGTGATACCCTACTTGCTGAGTTTCTTATACTTCATAGAAGACTTATTACTGAGGATTTGAGTTTGAGAGTTCCTTTTTAGACTTTTTCTTGCTAATTATAAGCCAGTGACTTTAAGACTTTTATGACTTCAACCTATAGGAAGAAGTAATTTTTTAAAAAAACTTTTTGTTGTGATCTGGGTGAAAGTTTACAGAGCAAATCAGTTTTCCATTCAACAATTCACACATACTTTGTTTCCCATCATTGATTGCAATCCCCTAAATGTAACATCATTCCTCCCACATCCTCCCTCTGTTTCTCATTTCCATTCCTCCTTATCTTGTTCCTTCCTGCCTTCTGAACTTTGTCCTTGGACAAATGCTACACTTTTCTTGAATGGTTGATTCTATGGAGTAACTACCATCCTAGAGTTATTGTTCGCCTTGTAGACCTGTCTGTTGTTTGACTGAAAATTTAGCTATAGGAGTAAGCTCATTTACAGGTCTGAAGGGTTACCAAGGGCCATAATCTTGGGAGTTACATCAGTTTCTACATGACCAGTAAGCCTGGTCTTTTTTTTATAATTTTGAGTGTTATTCTACATTTTGGTTACCAAGGGCCATAATCTTGGGAGTTACATCAGTTTCTATATGACCAGTAAGCCTGGTCTTTTTTTATAATTTTGAGTGTTATTCTACATTTTTCTCCCACTCTATCCAGGACTTTCTAATGTGATCCCATTTAGAGCAGTTTATAGTAGTAGCCAGGCATACTTGGTCCATTAGTTCTTTGACTAATTGTTTCCATATGTTTTTTATTTTCTTTACTCTTTTTTTGTTCCACACTAGGAGAAACCAATACTTTAGATGGTCACTTGCAAGCTTTTAAGACCCCAGTCTCTACTCACCAAAGTAGGATGCAGAACATTGTCTTTGTGGACTTGTACCAATTGACCTTGATGTCCCCTGAAACTGTGCCTTGAGTCCCAGGCCCAGCAACTTACTCCCTCAGGGGTTTTGCTTGTAGCTAAGAAGTTTTCATAACTTTGCCCCCTGAATGCTCTATTGTATTCATGGATATATTTGCAGTATACGTAGGCACATATGTAGAAATATCCTCTGTCAAAGTCCCATTCTCTTTCTCACACTTGTTCACCTTGCATATCTATCTATATATCCACTTGCAGATTATTGATTATTGTTATTACTGTTATTGTAGGATTATGTATGAATTAATATTTGCCTCTGTTGCCTTTAATTCTTGTAGTCCTCCCAGCAAGGAAGAAATAAATTTTAAATCGTGATGCTTCCCACACATACACTCAATATTCACACACATGTGCACTCACTTGCACACATACACAAGCATACATGCATGCAAATGAAATAAAACAGCAACAACACCAACTCAGTACGTGTGATATACTATGATGCACTATCTTTTATTTTTACTGTAATCCTGGTCTCACAATCCACTACATTGATTTCTAGATCCTTGAAATGAGTTGCATTGTGCAGTTTGAAACTTGCTACTATAAGTAAATGACTAAAATCTCTTATTTCTTAACCAAATTGTTTGATATTAAAATATTACATATTTCTTAAAAGACTCTCTCTGCTCTGTGATAGTCTGTTTTTTTCATGAATTCTTCCCTGTGTTGTCTTTGTCTCACTTTTATGAGTTTTCTCTAATTATTGTCCAAGGATGGAATCAACTAGAGTGAGGTGGGTGGGGCATAGTCACCTATTCCAAATCTACTATTAATAGCCTCTTGAAGTGAATCTTTGCAATATGCATTTTATTAGGCTCCTGGATGATTTTTACATATGTTAGAGGTTGGGAAAGACTGTTCTTAGAGGTGATCCCTTCACTAGTAATATATTTTATTAGATATAACATATGTTCTCCACTACTACACATGATTTTTTTTTAAGACTTTTCAATTCTTATTTCATTTATTCCTTTTAAAATTCTTTCCTATCTATCTTTTAGCAACTGGCTTCTCTCTTTTAAATTCTTGTATCTTGGAGTATTGTAATATGACACATGCATATATGTATCAAGATGATCTGATACATATGACCCAAGAACACTTTTCATTTTCTGTGGGTGAGCCCATTTCTATACTCATTACATTGTTTCTTGGCAATTTTTTTTTCATGTAAAGTAATATGATGTTAAATAATCATCTTTACAACCCATTTGATAGTCAGAAAGCCAGGCATACGTAAGGATTGTCTAGTTGTGTTTTTTAAGGCAGTCCTATTAACAAACTGGCTTACATCCAAAAGACAATTTAATATTATTCCTCATGAAGCAACATAGGGATAAGACCTAAAGTTTCAGACACTGTTTGTGAAAATACTGGCAGACCTCCATTTCATAACTCCCAGCTTCAAGTCCAATAAAAATAATGCTTTATTTTTTAATATTTTACCAGAAATCTCTGAAATTACTTCTTTTGTTCTGGCTGAGAAATGTGCCTATACGTCACTCGTCATTTTGAATTTAGATTGGGGTTATATGCATTATAAACTTTTTTCTGCTTGAGCCAGAAAAATATGGCCTTGCCATTTAAACTCTTGGGCTTGCTCCTCCTTCCTTTTCTGCTTTACTGCTCTCATTGTGAAGTAATTACACAAGGCAATGACAAACATGGATTTCTTTTTAATTGGATATACACATTTGAGGTGTTAGGTTTTAGTGAGATCACTTTCAATTCTTAGTCACAGAGACCAATTTTTATTCAGGGGCTTGGGTGGCATAGAGAGCTATAAGATGGGAAAGAGGTTGAAAGGATATGAGATAACAGAGGAAGATAGCAAATAGAATGATCTAGATACACAGGTTTTCCTTTGAATGTGGCCACTATTGTAATTGACTTAGAGCTGTAAGCTACATATTACATTGGTATTCATGTCATAGCCTTTTCTTCTTTTCTATCACAAAGAGGTAGATTGTTAATTCTTTAAGGTTTCTAAGTACCTCATTGGGAAATGAGAGTATGTTGCACAGAAGATGGAAGTGACTTGCTCTGATTATTCATCTACTGATTCCCAATGCCTTTCTCTTTGAATAATCCCACACTCCTATCACATGCAGGGAGCTCTGGTAGCATAGTGCCTAAGGCACTTGACTGCTGACCAGAAGGCTGGCAGTTCAAACCCACCAGCCACTCCTTGAAAGGAAGGTTGAGCAACCCTACTTCTGTAGTGATACTGCCTCGGAAACCCAAGGAGGGGTCGCTATGAGTTGGGGCCCATAACAACAACAACAACAACATCACATGCAAATAATTTTTCATCATTCTAGCAATTTCATCTTGATATTACTGTTAAGGGATAGCAAAATAAATAGTACAAATTAGACTTTGTATGTTCAGTAAGGTAGCTGTTCTGAAATTTTTTGGCTTTATAATCTCAAAATATTTTAAAAAGCCTTGAGGTGGGAGCTAGAGTTGGACAAACTTTAAATTGACCCCTAAATTGGGGAAACAGTTAGGGGAGAAAAGCCAGTTTGTCCTCTTTACTCCTTTAGTATTATCTGCATCAGCATCATGCCACATTTGGAGGTTTACTGTCTGTCAGACACAATGCAGTGGGCTCACCTCATATTAAATCATTTATTATGTAAAATAATCCTCCAAGATAGACTTTACTTTCCTCATTTTCCCGATGGAGAAATTGTAGATTGAGTATATACTAAAAAATGAGTTAGCCTAGATTTGAATTGCTATCTCTAAAGTCTATGTATAAAGTTTTATTAGGTAATTTGTGTGGTCCTTACTTTATCTGTTGGGGCTGGAGAAAATTAGTGGTGAGAAGTCAAGGGATTAAGGGATCAGCAAAATTAGTAATATTGACACAAAAATGCTAGACTAAGTGATCTTTCAAAGTGTGGGCCTCTGTCACATGCTTGAGAAACCACTACTATGAGGTGCATAGGACACAGGTTTGAAGATTGTGGTGACTGGGTGAGTTGTGGAAGTGTGTAGCTGTGTTGTTGTGTATTGTCAAGTCAGTTCTGATCCATAATGACTCTTTATAACATAGTAGAAGTGACCCAGAGAGTTTCTTAGGCTATAGTCTTTATAAGAAGGGACCCTAGTAGTGCAGTGGTTAAGGCTGACTTGCCAATTGAAAGATTGGTGGTTCAAACCCACCAGGTGCTCTGCATGGGAAAGATATGGTGGTTTGTTACCATAAACATTATAGCTTTGGAAACCCTATGGGGCAGTTCTTCTCTGTCCCATAGTGTTGACAGGAGTTGGAATCTACTCAGTGGCAATGAGTAATTTTAACAAGAGTAGATCGCCAGGTCTTTTCTCCTGCGGAGCCACTGAACCACCAACCTTTAGGTTATCAGCCAAAAGTATATTTGTGTAGGATGCCCTAAAACCCTATGATTTTAATAGTGAGGGGGTGGATTGCTTTCTTAGTTATTGATGTAAACTAGAAACAACAGTGTATTCTGGCTTCTCACTTCAGTGACTTGACCCACTTGGCAAGCACAAAATAGAAGAGTACCTTTTCAAAGTCTGCATAGAAAAAGATCAAGTGAAACAAGTGTGACTGGGTATATGATAGTGAAATGGTAAAAATATTATCTTTTGTAAGACTCCATAAACACCAAGTAGTTGATTTGGAATGTTTCTTCCTATTTCCCTACATGCCTTTGGTCATGGTATTGTTGTTATTAGGTGCCATCAAGTTGTTTCCTACTCATATCACAGGTTTTTAATGAGTCTTCCTCCAATCCTGATGCCACGTTCTTCTTCATATAATCCAGCTTCTCCTATTATTTGCTCAGCATACAAGTTGAATAAGTATGGTGAAAGGATACAACCCTGACGCAC